CGCCAAAAATTCCCATAATTATAATCTGGTATCTAATGCAAAACGCTTAGATAACATATTCTAGCCAGTGTTTATGGGGTCCGCGCTGCTTCTGGGGGTACGCAACATAGATCAATAAAGAGTACGTGAACAGAAAAACAGTCTCACATCTCACATTACGTTGTGTCAGTATTTTTCAAGCATTTTGTTATTAAATCATCTTTTTTATTCGTGTATTAAATTCGAATTTATTGATCAACAGTCCTGCAATGCAGTCTTTTCATAATCAGTATATTATAGGATTATCCTAAATAAAAGTTTGTTTAGCCAACGGTGGGGGGGGGGTGCGTAACAGTACAAGAAGGTAATAAAGGGTACAACAGGCGAAAATGTTTGGACAACACTGTTATAAACAATGCACCAGGTGATAATGAGCGAGCCACCGCTTGCGGCTGGAAGTCCTAATTTTTCTAACCATTCCTCTACAGCGTTGGCCAAAGGCAGCTCGTCAGCCTTGCACGAGCATTGCTGAGACAGTCTCGCATCTTGGTGCTGGACGAAGCCACGGCGGCCGTCGACGTGGAAACTGATGACCTCATTCAAGAAACTATCAGGTCACAGTTTGCCAACCGTACTATCCTGACCATAGCTCATCGTCTGAACACTATTATGGATAGTGATAGGTGAGTGTTTTTGCCAGTCAGGTTTTCATTTAGCCAGTGAGTATATTTTAAAATCCAGCTGCGTCGAACACACATTGTAACGGCTCTTTAGCGTTCCTGGTCCATAAAAATATGCCATATTCCATTGGATGACTATTTATTTACTTACTTTTCGAGAGGTGCATTCCCCATACTTGAATTTACGAAATGCTTATATTTGGAATATAATTATCACGAACTGTCCATCATCTTATCTGACCCGATTTTTCCCACTACCAAAGTATATTTATTCACGTAAATGAACAATAATTTGAAAGCAAAATAGGTGTCTGTGCCAAAATTACAGTTCAACGAAAATACGGAATGTGTCGTTATCAGAACCACCACAATTTTTTATTATCAAAAGCATCTATTTGACATATGGAAGCATGAAAGCTATTGTAAATTTTTTTTAGTAAAAAAATTACTTTTAAATGCATGTTTTTGTCCCATTCCAGAGTAATGGTGCTGGACAAGGGCAAAATAGCCGAGTTCAGCGACCCAGCGTCACTCCTGGCAAACAAGAAGTCCATTTTCTACGGCATGGCTAAGGACGCCGGTTTGGTGTAGTCCAAAACAGGGAATAAGTTAGTGAATTTTATATAAAGGGTTGAGTGAACTGTTCCGCATTTAGGGAGTGAAATAGATAAATGTGAAACGAATGCTGTTCACACTGAATAAGCTGAATAAGCTAAAATAGAATACAAACTATATGAACTATTCATAGACAATACTTATATTCAACCACGAAAAGTCTGTTGATACCACCCAATGTATTTTTCGTTGTAGAGACTCAGGCATCCTTCGTTGTATAGCAAATATGATCTCATTGAAGTGGAACATTCCGAATTCGAATTATAAGAGATGCATTTGTTGAAAATTGGTTATTGAATATTCCAAATACTTCTCAGAACTGGCATTCGTCTTGTCGAAAAAAAGTAGATAATGCCACGAAATATGATTTTGAGGATATGAAATATTTGTTAAAATGTAAAATATTAAATGTGATGAACTATTGTTGAAATAAGGAAGGTCTGTTATATATACACGTGTGTGTATGTACAAATGAGTATATGTATATACGTATAGGTATGTATGAATATACAGTATATAAAAGCCATAAACTCTGCTAACTTTTGCTTAAACAAACTCTGTTATGCCTATAATGGCTGTGACTCCTATACCAGATAATGCCAGTTTACTTTAATTATTATCCTGATTTTCCATGTTATGTGAAGTGGTATATGTCAGTTCTTCCATTGCTGAAAATACCACATAGAGACGATGCAGATATTCAAGTAAACATACTCGAAGTCTTTACATGGTAATGATATGGGAAAGGCTGGATCAGTAGCAACCCGAGGAGGTGTCATGGCGCTGAATCTGTTTTTTTGGAAAAAAAAGCACGTGGGTTTATTTTGATGACGTCACAATAGTTACGGATGTATTGTGAATAAGGTTCAGGTCTCCTCAGTTTTCAAATAGGATGGAAAAATATTGATTTTAATGGTTATATTTTCATTGAACAATCATCAAAACAGACGCCACGACACCTCCTCCAGTTGCTACTGATCTAGCCTTTCTCGTAATGATAGTTTCCCTTGGAATAACGGTTAGCAAATTCACTAAGGACATGGATAATTATTGCAGCTAAGTAAGCCATTCATTGAATTAGTGCTAACAAATTTAAGAACTCTGTTATTAATGACTTAACTATGTACTTATATAAGAATGTATAACCAGTATGCCATGTGGGTATATATATACAAGCATAATATTACACGTGTGTGTACCCTTATCTATTTTTGTTACATTGTTGT